AATAGGGAAGGGTGGAGGGCGTGAAGGGAGGGCTAGGAATGGGGAAAAAATAAGAACCAAGATGCATTATATAAAGGTACAATTTCCAATGAGAAATGTAATTGTGTTGTATACCTACAATGTACCAATAAAAGAATTTAATACACACACAAAATAGTTGTTCATAATATTCCTTATCTTTGTAAATGTCTGTAAGATTTGTAGTGATGTCCCTTCTTTCATTCTTGCAATTTGCAATTTGTAGCCCAAGTTTTTGGTTCTTTTTTTTTTTAAAGAAAGAGAACATTGCACATGCCTGCAATCTTAGCACTGCGGAGGCTGAAGCATGAGAATCAATCACTGCAAGTTTGAGGGCAGTCTAGGCTACATAGTGAGTTCGAGGCCAACCTGGACTGCATAACGAGATCCTAGCTCAAAAAAAAAAAAAAAAAACAGAGAGAGAAAATTAAAGGTAAAATTGAAGTCTCCTTCATCCCTAAATCTATCCTCTTCCTTTTGTCCCTGAGGTACCCACTCCCCCAAGTATTATTCCCCTACATAATTTGTATACTTTAGTAATGCTAATTTCTGCTCCTCTCCTGGTTCTCCTGTTCACTTACCGTATTTCCTGCTTCTGCAGCCAATCGGGCAGCATAGCGAGCTATAAGCCGGTGTTCCTCATCTAGTCGACTAGGACTGTCCAGGACACTGCCGAGGAGATAAAAATTCAACAGGTGTCTATTAAACATCCCCAACTCTTGCTCCACTCTTACAAAGAACAAATAGGAAAAAATCTTCTAAATAAGAATGATAATAAAAGAAATGATGGCCTGGGTCATAGATACTAATGGTTTTGTAAGCAAAAAGGGAATTCAGAGAAAATGATGTGGCTGCATGTGTCATTCCTCCTCAGTAGCACATCTCCCTGCTCTCACAGTACAGAAGGGGGTGCTTTTAAAATGAAGGGCTGGGCTGGGGATTTAGCTCAGTGGTTCCGCCGCCTGCCTCACTAGCACAAGGACCGGAGTTCGATCCCAGGTACTGCAAAAAAAAAAAAAAAAAAGGGCTGAGAAAAGATACAGCACCTACAAAGTCTAAGGGATTTCTAACCAAATGTTTGGGGAAACTAATGACTTTTTAGGCCTAGATCTTAAACTGAAGAAGACCAAAGGAAGCCAGGGGTTTAGCTCAGTGGTTCTGCCGCCTGCCTCACAAACGCAAAGTCCCGAGTTCGATCCCCACTACCAAAAAAAAAAAAAAAAGACCAAAAGAAAACTATAGCATCATGAAAAATAGAAGGCTAAGAAATAGTATAATTACCACTAGCTGAAAAAAAAAAAGTAGGGAACCCTGATCAGGGCTGAACAAACATACTGTGAAGCTGAAGAAGATTTCTCTTCTTTTTACAATGTTTGTTTTATAACTATAGTCCTCTCTTAGAGTGAATTAGTTTTATCCATTACTCTTACTTTAACAAGAGTGTCACCATTCTAGAAACATAAAGATCTACTCAGATGGGATGATGTGGCACCTAAGTGAAAGCAGGGGTCTTGAGTAGCAGACTCACTCTATCCAGATACTTGACTTCTTTTTTTAAAAAATTAACTTTATTGGTACATTTTAAGCATAAAATATAATGACAATAATCACTGGAAATTTGTACCTTTACTTAATAAATCTTGATTCTTATTTTTTCCCCATTTCCCTGCCCTCCCTTCAATCCCTCCATCCCTCTCTATTTACAAAGACTTTGTTTTCATTTTCTCATGTTAATTCCATTACTTGACTTTAGTGTAGCATTTTATGTCAACTGCTGTTTACCCAGATTAGAGCAGCCCTCCGTTAACAGGGACTGTGGCTACATAATTCTCTTTAAGTCTGGCAGAAGTTTTACAACAATGGTGATGATGAGACTGACCAGAGAAGGCTGTTGTGGCTTGGCTCTACTTTGGCCCTAAAGTTTTCCAAAACCCTTGATTGGAATTTGGTAGTATGACAAGTAATATGTAAGAATTAAGTCTAATACTCACCAAATCTTGTTATAATGACTGAGGGGGATCTGAGAAAACTTTTTTTTTTTTTTGGTTTATTGAGACAGGGTCTCACTATGTAGTTCACACTGGCCTTGTACTCACTATGTAGTCTAGGCTGCCCTTGAACTCATGACAATCTTCCTGCCTCAGGTGTGGGCCACCACACCCAGGTGGAAGACTTAGTTAAATCAATAAAGATCTTTCTGACCTTTTCCTTTTTTTTTTTTGGTACCCGGGATCAACTTGGGTCCTTGCATTTGCGCAGCAGGTGGCAAAACCACTGAGCTAAATCCCTGGCCCTGACCTTTTCTTGAATAGAATCAACTGTATTTTTTTCTAGATTAAAAATAAACTTTCAAAAAAAATAAACTTTCTATGTTTTTATCTCTGTGGCCAATTCTACTAAGCTTAACTCAGTATTTTTTTAAAAAATGCGCTTTAAGTTGCTTATCTACAAAATTTATTAACATTCTATGATTTTAGGTGTCCAAATGTGGGTTTCCAGGATGCATGACTGTCCCTTCCAAAGATGATCTCATACTGAGATTATGCTACCATCAGTTAGTTGGCTTTAATAGTATAGGTTAAAGGCCCTATGGTCAGAGCTGAATTATAAGTTTTGTGCCATAAAGTGTTTGTCTCAAACAAGATAATTATGTTTTAAATGAAAATAACAAAAATGAATAATTAACAAAACAAGTAGATAATATTATGGAGGGACTGACAGCCTAAAAAGTGGGATGTAAAAAGGCAAGGGGCAGGCTGGGGATTTAGCTCAGTGGTTTCACCGCCTGCTGCGCAAGTGCAAGGACCCAAGTTTGATCCCCGGTACCAAAAAAGAAAAAAGAAAAAAGGCAAGGGCACAGTGAGTTCCTCTGTGCAAAGGAGCTCCTCTCCCCGAGCATATCCCACCCCCTCGGAAGGTCAATCCTATATGCCATTTACACATGTGTGGATGACATGGTGGCTTTATTACCCTACTTATTAGCCAGAAAGTAGAATCTTGTGTTAATAAGAGGTTTCACAGTCAATGAAAATTATGAGGGCGATTAGAAAGGTTCCTTATTTTTCTGTTTGTGTTGACTTAATTTTCAGATTTAGCCAGGAAATTTCTGACTTTTTCAAGGAAGTATAGAGCTCCATTCCTTAAACTATGAATCAAGAGACGCAGCACTCGCCCACTCGTGTTCCTTCAGGGCCACGTGGATCAGGGAGCCCTGAGGCAATGGGACTAAGGACCTTGACTAAACCTACCATAAACTGTTGTGAGCTGAAATATCGGGTTGTAATCTCTGCCAAGATTCTCCTGCTGTTTTTACTGTAGCAGCTTTAAATCACCTTGGACAATTGCTCTTGCTATTAAAAAGTAATCTGTCCTGCCTAGGGTAAAACAACTCTACTTTCAGAGACCAAAAGGCTGGGACAAGCATGCAGAAACCATCCGGAGGATGAGGAGATGCCCTTTGTGACATGACGTAATTATCAGGCCCTTCCTCCCTCCTATACAACAGGCTTACATTAAGCCCATCTGGGAATCTGGAGGGCCACAGAGTTCCTCCAGAAACTACAAGAGGTAGTATAAAGTACAATATGAAAAAGTCTTTTTCATATGTTATGTTTTCCCCATTGACTATTCCTCTTATCATGGAGAGTAAGAATGAGCTCAAATGACTTTCCCAAAGACATGCTATGGACAAAACTAAGATCAAAGTTTAAGGCTCTGGCCTGTCTTTTACGTATGCAGTACTTTATAAATTATGTTTTTCTCTCTCTTAAGAATCTCAAAGCATGGCTTTACAAGCTGTTTGGCTCTGTAACTCCTCTTTGCAGCTGTGCAGAAGGGAGAGATACTTTAGGCTATCTAAACTTTATTTGTTATTGCTCTCGGAATGGTGAAGATATGAACACGGAGTGGATAGGAGGCTGTGGGTATGCCTGAGTATAACAGCACTTTGGAATCAACTTTTTAAAAAAATGGTTAACTCTGCTATAGTTAGTGGTTATTGAACACTTTTCTATCCCAACCCATGAAGGGATCATCCACAGCAAGTCATTATCATAATAGTTTTCAAGGTGAGAGAGGCGAGATTGTTATAATACATATAATTATAATAATACGAAGAGGTATATACAATTTGTTAAGAAGCCTCTGAGGTGACAAAGATCTGATCCCACTGTTGAAAATCAGTGGTTTAAACAATCAACAATGCTAGATTTCTGCTAAGAGATAAAGCATGGTACAGACGTAATAGGGTGATGGTACAGACGTAATAGGGTGATGGTACCGAAGCCCCCTCCCCATATGAGACAACTGGTATCTATGGGATTATTAGCCTTAAACTTTGAATGTTAATGGAAAGATTTCATTATATAGGTAAGAATGAACAGGAAGAGGATGCATGAAATACCTCTGTAAATATCACATCTTTGGAACTCTATCTTTCAGAGGTGTACACACTCTTCCAGTATAATCTGCAAAGACCAAACCTTACTTCAGAGGAGACTTTCTAATTACATGTTTAGGTAAGTGCTAGGCTCACCAAGGATCCCTCTCTTGTGGAAACTAATGCTTCGGCAATTATTTTAACGGTGCCATTTGTAGCTGGTGGCTGTACAAAAACACCCCCACTTGAGAGCTTCTCCCACTGGCAACTCCAGGAAACACAGCTCTTGCTCCCCCCAATCAGCCCTGGCCACCCGCCTGGTGCTGCTGTGCTACCACTGACCGTGCACAGTGCTGTAGACGGGCCACATAGGAGGCTATCAACGTATGCTCATCGGCCAAAGGACTGGGCATGTCCTGGCTATACTGTAACCTGGGAATGACGGAAGCAGAGACAGCAAGTGTGACACAAACACATACAGAGGGAGAGATGAACATGGATTAAAATGAGCAAACTTAAAAGTTGAAAAAACAATATCATAATAATGAAAACAATAAGAAAACCACAATGTACAATGAAATACAGTTAGACCATTGGGAATCTGTCCCACAATCCTTTGAACAAAAGCAGTCTTTTAGAAGATGGCTTTGGCTGATTGGCACCATAGCCCTTGAGAAGGAGGAACCCTGCTTACCAGTCTTGTCCAGGCTCTGGGCTCTGTGATAGATGTATTTTTAGGGAAAGCTGTCTGGCAAAACAACTGATCACAGTGGATATATTTAATATTACTAAATGACCCCCTAATGTTATGCTTTTATAGTTTTTTCTACACTTAATGATTGTCAGTGTTACCTTATAGTACTAGTAAATACTTTTACTTCTATAGGAATATTATCTTTAGCATCAGTTTCTCTCCTAAACTGGTACTTGAACCAAACTTATTAGAATTATACCCAATTATAAGACAGTAATGTGGGGCTCTCTCTTAAGTGCATGTCTATTCTTTTAAAAATATTTTTACTATAGAAACATTAAAACTTCTAAAAAACAGAGCAATCAAATGATCACCTCTCATGTACCTGTCACCAAACTTGAACAAGTATCAATCTTTCAATACTCTTGTTTATTCTTCCTCCTCATAACTTTTTGTGCAGAAAAAGGTGGCTAATGCAAACTCAAGGCAATTATTTCATTCAGGAATCCTTGAGCTTATCTATCTGTCAGACAGTAAAAACATTTTCAACAAAAAAATTGACAGAAGTGTTTTTTTTTGGTACTGGGGATCGAACTCGGGTCCTTGCGCTTGCACAGCAGGCGGTGAAACAACTGAGCTAAATCCCCAGCCCTCAGAAGTGCTTTTAATATCTCAGTTCATCTGAAAAAATGCAAATTATAAAAAAAACTCCTTTTCCAGTTAAAAGCAAGATCCAAAGATTCCCACTTTTGTATATGGTTGGGATGTTCCTTGTATGTTTGTATTTGATTAAAACATTTTGTTTTTGTACCAGGGATCGAACTCGGGACCTTGCACTTTCAAGGCAAGAGGTGGAACCACTGAGCTAAATCCCCGGCCCAATACATTTCTATTTTTAATCCAAAGGGTTCTCCTTTTTCCCTGTCCATTTCATGACATTTATTTATGAAGAAATCAGGTTATGTTATACAATACCCTATATCCTGGATTTGACAGTCTGTTTCCTTTGGTGACCCTTGTGTCTCCATCCCGAGGTTAGATCTGGCTGCTTGACTGAAGTTTTATTTTTGAGAAGTGGTAAGAATCTGGGTAGATAATATGTTGCACTTACAAATAAAAAAGGAAGCACATAATTGAATGGATTATAGATACTGATTAGTGGGTTCAGGAGTTATTGGTCCTATTTTTCTATTAGGAAGTCCCCATCAACTTTTTACCTAATGCTTTTAGCATTTATTGATGAGTCTTGCCTAGATTCATTCTTTTATTAGGGGTTGGAAAATGTTGACTTTTCTAATTTTATTCTCCTTTTGGCAAGTGTCCATTTCCTCTATTTGTTTCTCTTGAAATACTGCTCATTGATATCTTCCATTATTTAACAAAACTCAGAATGAGTTAGCAACCTTCAATGGTTACCAAGAAATTTCTTTTTATTACTACTATGAACTCAGATCTTTATGCATCTGAGGTGGCCTAGTCCATTTCAACCCCCCTTCCCCCTCTTCTCCTTCTTTTTTTTGCTTTGGTACTGGGGATTGTACTCGGGTCCTTGCACTTGCGCAGCAGGTGGTGAAACCACTGAGCTAAATCCCCAGCCCATTTTCTTCCTTCTTGGGAAGGAGTCTCACTATGTTGCGTAGGCTGGTCTTAAACTTGTGGGCACAAGTTTAGCTACCTTAGCCTACCTTAGCCACCCAAGTGATTAGGACTACAGGAATATACCACTGTGGTCAGCTCAATCCTTTTTTTTTTTTTTTAAACAGGGTCTTGCAGTGTAGCCCATGCTGGCCTTGAACTTGTGATCCTTTTGCCCCAGTCTCCCAAGTACTGGGATTATGGCTGTGTGCCATTATAGCTGGCTCTCAATCATCATCTTCATGCTCAAATTATTCTACTTTTGACCAGTGGGAGCCTTTGTAAGGAAGTTTTGGTGTTTTTTGACATATCCATTAGGGCTTATTAGTTTTCTTGCTTTTTGGCATAAACTATTCCCAATTCATCTTGCATATATCCTGCGGCAGACTTGAAATCAACCATTTTTCCAAGGACCTGTGGCTTCTTTTACTGGAAAAAGAGTATTAGAGATCACAATCAGGGTATTGGGTGCTCACTGTTCCTGGCCTGTCACTGCTTCTAGGCCTTTTTAGTGGATAAAAAAATTTGTGTATTTTATTGTATTAAAAAAATTTGTATATGTTAGAAGAAAACAGGCCCAGTGTGGTGGCACACCTGTAATCCTAGTACTTGGGAGGCTGAGCAAAGAGGACTACCATGAGTTCAAGGTCAGCCTGAATTGCAGAGTGAGACCCTGTCACAAACAAACAAACAACAAAACGATTCTCTTAGCATTTTAAAGGCACTCTTCCATTATCTTTTGGGTTCTATTATTTTCAATGAGAGGTCACTGATGTTCTCATCTTTATTTCCCTGTATGTAACATGTTCCCCCTCTGTCAAAGGAGGCCAAGAAGGAATAGAAGGGAAACTAGGAGAGCACAATATTATGGAACTAAGGGCAAGACTGTTTCAAGAAGAAGGGAGAGGTCATCTATGCCAAATGCCGCTGATAGGTCAAATAAGACAAGTACTGAGCACAAAGGACTACTGTAGAATTCAAGGATGTTTCTTTGACAAAGATAGTTCTAGCAGAGTAATAAGAGGGAGAAGTGTGACTAGGGTGTGTTCCAAAAGAAGAGAAGAGAAATTGAAGCCACTTACCACTGATAATTGTTTCAAGAAGTTCTTCTAAAATGAGATGAGATATACAGACATAGCTGGGGTGGAAACAGGTCAAACCCAGAACTTTTTATTCAAGAGATGAAGGGAGGAGAAAGGGACATAAAAGAACTGAGATGTATTATGTGTGTGTACCAACACACACATGTCATCATGATGAATGTAATCATTACATAATGCAAACATCCACTAAGGATTTTTTTTCTAATTGCTTCTTTTTTTCTTAGTGAAACAGGAACCAATAAGCCACTAAACTCCAGTTTAGGTTTATAGGAAGACTGCTATTCAGAACTAGTACTTGCCAGATAATTACAATCTAGACCAAAATGAAAAGCATTACAATAGCTGCCTGTAATAGATAAGGAACTCAACTGTCCATGAATTTTCTGATACTTTTGTTTGGGGTGATGTGATATTCTGCTTATATTCCAAGTGCATCTGTTTCCCCAGACTTACTTTTTTTTTTTTTTTGTACCAGGGATCAAATTCAGGTCCTTGCGCTTGCAAGGCAAGCAACGGAACCACTGAGCTAAATCCCCGGCCCTAGACTTACTTTTTAGTTTAAACTCTTTCTTTTCTAGGTCCAAAGGGGTAGGGGAAGTGAGAGGGGAAAGAGAAAGGAAAGAAGGGAAAGGAAAAATTATGAGAAAAGGAAAAAATGGAAACAAAGTCTTTGCAAATAGGGAAGGGTGGAGGGGGTGAAGGGAGGACAGGTAATGGGGAAAAAGTAAGAACCAAGATACATCATGTACAGGTACAAGATCTCAATGATAAATGTAAACATATTGTATACCTAAAATGTACCAATAAAAAATTTAAGCAAAAAAACCCCCCAAAACCCCTTTCTTATCTGATAAAATATATATATATATATATTACAGTTTAAATCTAAAATGTCTCCTAAAAGTCTCGTGTTTGGAAGGTGACTGTACTCATCAATGGATTCATCCACTGATGTACAGAGCAGCTCACGTTGTTGGAGGCAGGGCCTGGTTGGAGGTGGGCCACTGGGGGCGTGACCTGTAACCAAGAATTCTTTTTTTTTTTTTTCTCGAGAATTCTTATTCTAGGCTCTTTCCTTTTCTCTCTGTTTCCTGACTTCCATGGGTTGAGCACATCTTCCTCTACCATCCTATTTATGCCTTGGAACCAGCTGAACAGACTAAAACTCTGAGTCAAAAATAAATCTCTCCTTCAAGTTGTGGGTGTCAGGTACTTTGCCCTAGTAACTATGACAACATATGACCCTCAACTTACAAACAGGTTTTGTTTCAGAAATTTGCTTTTCTGAAGCAGTCAATAGTTTCTAATTCAGAATGTTTTCCTATAAGACAGTAATTGTTCTATTTCTATGATGTCAAATGTTGATCCAATCCATAGAAGTAGGTGATTTTCATACCTAAGTAGACAACAGTTTTAATAGCACTTCTGATAGAAACTGGGCATTTCAAACAATGTATACAGCACCTAAGAGATGTCAGGCACTGTGCCAGAGATGGGGACATTAACAGAAGCAAAACCCAGTCACAGCTGCTGCCCTTTTGGTACTAAACAATCCAGTAGGAAAAGATGTGACAATCCAAATAAATGCAAAATTACAAATGTAGTAAGTGTTGTGACAAGGGGGCAGCATCCTTTAAGAAGGCTTAACAGACTTTTATGCCATCAGGGAGACCAGTAAAAACAAGGGTCAGGAAAAGGAGCCACAGAGTTAAAAGAAGAGTGACAGTGGCATGAACATGCTCTCCCCATGGGAGTCTATGCAGCAGATCTTCCCTCAAGGCACCCCTGGCCCCTTGGTATGAAGACTAGAGCTGAGGACACAGAGGGTCTTGATGGGACTGGTAGGGTCTCAAGCTCCATCTGTGAAAATAAGCTTCTCCAGACTATTTCCGAATGAACTCCTTGGTCTCCGGAGATTCAGACTCTCTGGGAACAAGGCCTGGTAATCTGCATTTGAAACTAGTCTGTATGTGCTGTAGGTGTGCCTGGACATGTGAGAA